CGGGTCAGAAGCAGGAGACGGGTTAGAAGCAGGAGACGGGTTAGAAGCAGGAGACGGGTTAGAAGCAGGAGACGGGTCAGAAGCAGGAGACGGGTTAGAAGCAGGAGACGGGTTAGAAGCAGGAGACGGGTCAGAAGCAGGAGACGGGTCAGAAGCAGGAGACGGGTCAGAAGCAGGAGACGGGTCAGAAGCAGGAGACGGGTTAGAAGCAGGAGACGGGTCAGAAGCAGGAGACGGGTCAGAAGCAGGAGACGGGTTAGAAGCAGGAGACGGGTTAGAAGCAGGAGACGGGTCAGAACCAGGAGACGGGTCAGAAGCAGGAGACGGGTTAGAAGCAGGAGACGGGTCAGAAGCAGGAGACGGGTCAGAAGCAGGAGACGGGTCAGAACCAGGAGACGGGTCAGAAGCAGGAGACGGGTCAGAAGCAGGAGACGGGTTAGAAGCAGGAGACGGGTCAGAAGCAGGAGACGGGTTAGAAGCAGGAGACGGGTCAGAAGCAGGAGACGGGTCAGAAGCAGGAGACGGGTTAGAAGCAGGAGACGGGTCAGAAGCAGGAGACGGGTCAGAAGCAGGAGACGGGTCAGAAGCAGGAGACGGGTTAGAAGCAGGAGACGGGTTAGAAGCAGGAGACGGGTCAGAACCAGGAGACGGGTCAGAAGCAGGAGACGGGTTAGAAGCAGGAGACGGGTTAGAAGCAGGAGACGGGTTAGAACCAGGAGACGGGTTAGAAGCAGGAGACGGGTCAGAACCAGGAGACGGGTTAGAAGCAGGAGACGGGTCAGAACCAGGAGACGGGTCAGAAGCAGGAGACGGGTCAGAAGCAGGAGACGGGTTAGAACCAGGAGACGGGTTAGAAGCAGGAGACGGGTTAGAAGCAGGAGACGGGTCAGAAGCAGGAGACGGGTTAGAAGCAGGAGACGGGTTAGAAGCAGGAGACGGGTTAGAAGCAGGAGACGGGTCAGAACCAGGAGACGGGTCAGAAGCAGGAGACGGGTCAGAAGCAGGAGACGGGTTAGAACCAGGAGACGGGTTAGAAGCAGGAGACGGGTTAGAAGCAGGAGACGGGTTAGAAGCAGGAGACGGGTCAGAACCAGGAGACGGGTTAGAAGCAGGAGACGGGTCAGAACCAGGAGACGGGTCAGAAGCAGGAGACGGGTCAGAAGCAGGAGACGGGTTAGAACCAGGAGACGGGTTAGAAGCAGGAGACGGGTTAGAACCAGGAGACGGGTTAGAAGCAGGAGACGGGTCAGAACCAGGAGACGGGTTAGAAGCAGGAGACGGGTCAGAAGCAGGAGACGGGTCAGAAGCAGGAGACGGGTCAGAACCAGGAGACGGGTCAGAAGCAGGAGACGGGTCAGAAGCAGGAGACGGGTCAGAAGCAGGAGACGGGTCAGAAGCAGGAGACGGGTTAGAAGCAGGAGACGGGTCAGAAGCAGGAGACGGGTCAGAAGCAGGAGACGGGTCAGAACCAGGAGACGGGTCAGAAGCAGGAGACGGGTCAGAAGCAGGAGACGGGTTAGAAGCAGGAGACGGGTCAGAAGCAGGAGACGGGTTAGAAGCAGGAGACGGGTCAGAAGCAGGAGACGGGTTAGAAGCAGGAGACGGGTCAGAAGCAGGAGACGGGTCAGAAGCAGGAGACGGGTTAGAAGCAGGAGACGGGTTAGAAGCAGGAGACGGGTTAGAAGCAGGAGACGGGTCAGAACCAGGAGACGGGTTAGAAGCAGGAGACGGGTTAGAAGCAGGAGACGGGTCAGAAGCAGGAGACGGGTCAGAAGCAGGAGACGGGTTAGAAGCAGGAGACGGGTTAGAAGCAGGAGACGGGTTAGAACCAGGAGACGGGTTAGAAGCAGGAGACGGGTCAGAACCAGGAGACGGGTCAGAAGCAGGAGACGGGTTAGAAGCAGGAGACGGGTTAGAAGCAGGAGACGGGTTAGAACCAGGAGACGGGTTAGAAGCAGGAGACGGGTCAGAACCAGGAGACGGGTTAGAAGCAGGAGACGGGTTAGAAGCAGGAGACGGGTCAGAACCAGGAGACGGGTCAGAAGCAGGAGACGGGTTAGAAGCAGGAGACGGGTCAGAACCAGGAGACGGGTCAGAAGCAGGAGACGGGTCAGAAGCAGGAGACGGGTTAGAACCAGGAGACGGGTTAGAAGCAGGAGACGGGTTAGAACCAGGAGACGGGTTAGAAGCAGGAGACGGGTCAGAACCAGGAGACGGGTTAGAAGCAGGAGACGGGTCAGAACCAGGAGACGGGTCAGAAGCAGGAGACGGGTCAGAAGCAGGAGACGGGTTAGAACCAGGAGACGGGTTAGAAGCAGGAGACGGGTTAGAACCAGGAGACGGGTTAGAAGCAGGAGACGGGTCAGAACCAGGAGACGGGTTAGAAGCAGGAGACGGGTCAGAACCAGGAGACGGGTTAGAAGCAGGAGACGGGTCAGAACCAGGAGACGGGTCAGAAGCAGGAGACGGGTCAGAAGCAGGAGACGGGTCAGAACCAGGAGACGGGTCAGAAGCAGGAGACGGGTTAGATGCAGGAGACGGGTCAGAAGCAGGAGACGGGTCAGATGCAGGAGACGGGTTAGAAGCAGGAGACGGGTCAGAACCAGGAGACGGGTCAGAAGCAGGAGACGGGTTAGAAGCAGGAGACGGGTCAGAACCAGGAGACGGGTTAGAAGCAGGAGACGGGTCAGAAGCAGGAGACGGGTTAGAAGCAGGAGACGGGTCAGAAGCAGGAGACGGGTCAGAAGCAGGAGACGGGTCAGAAGCAGGAGACGGGTTAGAAGCAGGAGACGGGTTAGAAGCAGGAGACGGGTCAGAACCAGGAGACGGGTTAGAAGCAGGAGACGGGTCAGAAGCAGGAGACGGGTTAGAACCAGGAGACGGGTTAGAAGCAGGAGACGGGTCAGAACCAGGAGACGGGTCAGAAGCAGGAGACGGGTCAGAACCAGGAGACGGGTTAGAAGCAGGAGACGGGTTAGAACCAGGAGACGGGTTAGAAGCAGGAGACGGGTCAGAACCAGGAGACGGGTTAGAAGCAGGAGACGGGTTAGAAGCAGGAGACGGGTTAGAACCAGGAGACGGGTCAGAAGCAGGAGACGGGTCAGAAGCAGGAGACGGGTTAGAAGCAGGAGACGGGTTAGAAGCAGGAGACGGGTCAGAACCAGGAGACGGGTCAGAAGCAGGAGACGGGTCAGAAGCAGGAGACGGGTTAGAACCAGGAGACGGGTCAGAAGCAGGAGACGGGTCAGAAGCAGGAGACGGGTTAGAACCAGGAGACGGGTTAGAAGCAGGAGACGGGTCAGAACCAGGAGACGGGTTAGAAGCAGGAGACGGGTCAGAACCAGGAGACGGGTTAGAAGCAGGAGACGGGTTAGAAGCAGGAGACGGGTCAGAACCAGGAGACGGGTCAGAAGCAGGAGACGGGTCAGAAGCAGGAGACGGGTTAGAACCAGGAGACGGGTTAGAAGCAGGAGACGGGTCAGAAGCAGGAGACGGGTCAGAAGCAGGAGACGGGTTAGAAGCAGGAGACGGGTCAGAAGCAGGAGACGGGTCAGAAGCAGGAGACGGGTCAGAAGCAGGAGACGGGTCAGAAGCAGGAGACGGGTTAGAAGCAGGAGACGGGTCAGAAGCAGGAGACGGGTCAGAACCAGGAGACGGGTTAGAAGCAGGAGACGGGTCAGAAGCAGGAGACGGGTTAGAAGCAGGAGACGGGTCAGAAGCAGGAGACGGGTTAGAAGCAGGAGACGGGTTAGAAGCAGGAGACGGGTCAGAAGCAGGAGACGGGTTAGAAGCAGGAGACGGGTTAGAAGCAGGAGACGGGTTAGAAGCAGGAGACGGGTCAGAAGCAGGAGACGGGTCAGAAGCAGGAGACGGGTCAGAAGCAGGAGACGGGTCAGAAGCAGGAGACGGGTTAGAAGCAGGAGACGGGTCAGAAGCAGGAGACGGGAGAAGCAGGAGACGGGTTAGAAGCAGGAGACGGGTTAGAAGCAGGAGACGGGTTAGAAGCAGGAGACGGATCAGAAGCAGGAGACGGGTTAGAAGCAGGAGACGGGTTAGAAGCAGGAGACGGGTTAGAAGCAGGAGACGGGTTAGAAGCAGGAGACGGGTCAGAAGCAGGAGACGGGTTAGAAGCAGGAGACGGGTTAGAAGCAGGAGACGGGTCAGAAGCAGGAGACGGGTCAGAAGCAGGAGACGGGAGAAGCAGGAGACGGGTTAGAAGCAGGAGACGGGTTAGAAGCAGGAGACGGGTTAGAAGCAGGAGACGGGTCAGAAGCAGGAGACGGGTTAGAAGCAGGAGACGGGTTAGAAGCAGGAGACGGGTTAGAAGCAGGAGACGGGTTAGAAGCAGGAGACGGGTCAGAAGCAGGAGACGGGTTAGAAGCAGGAGACGGGTTAGAAGCAGGAGACGGGTTAGAAGCAGGAGACGGGTCAGAAGCAGGAGACGGGTCAGAAGCAGGAGACGGGTCAGAAGCAGGAGACGGGTTAGAAGCAGGAGACGGGTTAGAAGCAGGAGACGGGTTAGAAGCAGGAGACGGGTTAGAAGCAGGAGACGGGTTAGAAGCAGGAGACGGGTCAGAAGCAGGAGACGGGTCAGAAGCAGGAGACGGGTTAGAAGCAGGAGACGGGTTAGAAGCAGGAGACGGGTCAGAAGCAGGAGACGGGTCAGAAGCAGGAGACGGGTCAGAAGCAGGAGACGGGTTAGAAGCAGGAGACGGGTCAGAAGCAGGAGACGGGTCAGAAGCAGGAGACGGGTTAGAAGCAGGAGACGGGTTAGAAGCAGGAGACGGGTTAGAAGCAGGAGACGGGTTAGAAGCAGGAGACGGGTCAAAAGCAGGAGACAGGTCAGAAGCAGGAGACGGGTTAGAAGCAGGAGACGGATCAGAAGCAGGAGACGGGTCAAAAGCAGGAGACAGGTCAGAAGCAGGAGACGGGTTAGAAGCAGGAGACGGGTCAGGATGTTCTGCTTCTGCAGCGGGTTGATGGGTTGTGTGTGGGCTTACAGAGGTTTCCATTGATCAGCTTACTGTAGTCCACCTGGCCTCTCATGGCTCGGATCTTCTTCAGCTTTGCTTCCTGGGTTTCCACTCGCTCCTTCAGCTGCTGCAGCTTCTCAGCTTCAGGCTGCAGAATAAGAAGCAAGCAGGACCAACATTCATAGTGAGACCGGAGCGGCACCAAGCCCAGCGGCTCTGAGGGACCAATATGTGAAACCTACCTGGGTCTGTCCTGGGTGGGACCTTCCTCCCTGCTGGAGATACCTGAGCCTCTGCTCCTACAGCAGAACCACACAGAGAAGACCAGATGGTGACATCCAGGACGCTGATGTGGAGGAAGTAGTAGCCTAAAGTTCTGCCCGGTTAAAGCTCCCATTCTGTTCTGCAGCTCCAGATGATCTCATGCCGCTGATCAGCATGTTTCATAGAAATAATTTTCTAGAACATGCCCCAACAGAGATTCTATAAACTCTCACTGCTTTGCTCAGCAACAGAGGAACAAGAACATGAGCTCTACCATTCCACCATTAGATGTTGGTCTGATGTTCCAGAGTTCTACTCCAAAAGCACCTGCATACATCTGGAGTTCCAGGGAACCGACCTGCCTGGTCCATCGGTCAGGAAGCTTCTCTGTCTCCCTGTTTTCAGGCATGTTCCACTAAATGAAGAACATGGGATCCTGAACCTGCTGAGTCCTGCTGCTACCAGGACCTGACCAGACCCTGAGGAGACCATCTTCACTGGGAGGAGGACCAGCACTGCTTTATCTAAGACAGGAAATGATGGATCTCTGTGGTGGAGTTATAGGCCTGTTTTTCAGTATTTAGTCCTGTTTCTCTCCCAGACATTTCTATGGACTCAGCTTTTTATTCTAAATGGCTCCATCATCTCTAAGCTGCCGTTCTTTAAGCTGACCTTACCTTGGCCATCAGCACCTGCTGCTGGGCCTCTATCTGCTGCTGCTGTCTGGTTGCCATCTCCTGGAGCTCAGAGAGGGTCAGCTCCACATGAGGAACCTGCACACACACAGCAACACACCCGTGAACATCTGCACTGCTTCAGGAGGCTGCATGTTGAAGCTCAGATTACTTTGTAGAGGATTTCTGTTCCTCAGTTTGTGGATCAGTTTATTTCTTCATAAGAAGATTCTCAGTGTTCCAGGTCTGAGTTATTCCATAAAAGTTAAAAACAATCAAAGTTTGAAGACGTTTCGCATCCCATCCATTTTTACAGATGTTTTTTTTCTGATGTTCAATGTTGTAAAACTGGAAGGAATTTTAAAGATTTTTTTTCCATTTTGGACACTGGTCATGATGCGTTACCACAGCAACCACAGCAAGTTGATTTTTTTATACCGCAGCAGCTCGTTAACATCTCTAAAGCTGAAATAATACATCAACTACCTCCAGAAGTGCCAGCTGAGAAGAAAGGAGGCGCAGAGCAGGAGTAAGGAGATCCAAACCATCAATCATGTTTAATGGGAGATCTTTAGGAAAGCAGTGAGAAGAACTATGAGCTAGAATATCAGCAATGCAGCATTATGTGTTTCACTGAAACATGTTCACTGACTGGTTCACTGACTGATTCACTGACTGATACACTGACTGACTGGTTCACTGACTGGTTCACTGACTGATTCACTGACTGATACACTGACTGACTGGTTCACTGACTGGTTCATTGACTGATTCACTGACTGATACACTGACTGACTGATTCACTGACTGGTTCATTGACTGGTTCACTGACTGATTCACTGACTGGTTCATTGACTGGTTCACTGACTGATTCACTGACTGATACACTGACTGACTGGTTCACTGACTGGTTCATTGACTTATTCACTGACTGACTGGTTCACTGACTGGTTTATTGACTGATTCACTGACTGACTGGTTCACTGACTGCTTCACTACTGGTTCACTGACTGATTCACTGAAACATGTTCACAGACTGGTTCATTGACTGATACACTGACTGACTGGTTCACTGACTGCTTCACTGACTGATACACTGACTGACTGGTTCACTGACTGGTTCATTGACTGGTTCACTGAAACATGTTCACTGACTGGTTCACTGACTGATTCACTGAAACATGTTCACAGACTGGTTCATTGACTGGTTCACTGACTGATACACTGACTGACTGGTTCACTGACTGGTTCACTGACTGATACACTGACTGACTGGTTCACTGACTGGTTCATTGACTGGTTCACACTGATTCACTGACTGATACACTGACTGACTGGTTCACTGACTGATTCACTGAAACATGTTCACAGACTGTTCACTACTGGTTCACTGACTGGTTCACTGACTGACTGGTTCACTGACTGGTTCCCGGACTGATTCACTGAAACATGTTCACAGACTGGTTCATTGACTGGTTCACTGACTGATTCACTGACTGATACACTGACTGACTGGTTCACTGACTGATTCACTGAAACATGTTCACAGACTGGTTCATTGACTGGTTCACTGACTGATACACTGACTGACTGGTTCACTGACTGGTTCACTGACTGGTTCACTGACTGATTCACTGACTGATTCACTGACTGGTTCACTGACTGATTCACTGACTGGTTCACTGACTGACTGGTTCACTGACTGGTTCATTGACTTATTCACTGACTGACAGGTTCACTGACTGGTTTATTGACTGATTCACTGACTGACTGGTTCACTGACTGCTTCACTACTGGTTCACTGACTGATTCACTGAAACATGTTCACAGACTGGTTCATTGACTGGTTCACTGACTGCTTCACTGACTGATACACTGACTGACTGGTTTACTGACTGGTTCACTGACTGGTTTATTGACTGATTCACTGACTGACTGACTGATTCTCTCTATTCTCCCACTCTGCAGAATCTGTTAGTTCAATCTCTAACGTTCTGCTCTCTCTGCTTTTTCTCATAGTAGCTTCATCTGGTCTGTTCCTGTTTGGCTGTGACTCCATCCTGGAGAGAAATATCAGCTGTGCTGCTGCCATCAACACCTTTGTTTCTAGATGTTGGAGCTTGGCCTGTTTTCCAGTGTAGTCCTGTTTCTCTGACTGTGACTAACTGGATGTGCTCTCTTCATCCTCTGACATGGGAGCTGGCTCGGAGCTCGTCTGCCTGGCTGTGTGTTTCCTGGACGGGGCCGCCTGTGGAGCTGGTTGACAGTTGCCTTTTGTATCTATGCTTCTTTTTCTATGTCTGCTTCTGTCTCCTTGAACCCCAGTGGGCCTCAGCAGATGGCCGCTCACACTGAGCCTGGTTCTGCTGGAGGTTTCTTCCTGTTCAAAGGGAGTTTTTCCTCTCCACTGTCGCTACAAGCATGCTTAGTGTGAGGGATTGCTGAAGAGTCAATGAGTCGATGCAATCAGCTGGTTTACCTTAGATAGAAAACTTTGAATCAATCTGACTGGATGATCTGGTTGATCTGGATCTATAAAGTGACCTGAGATGACATGATGTGAATTTGGCGCTATATAAATAAACTGAATTGAAAATTGAATTGAATTCACTGATTCATTGACTGATTCACTGACTGATTCACCAACTGGTTCACTGACTGATTCACTGACTGGTTCACTGACTGACTAATTCAGTGAATTAACAGAACCTTTAGGTCCAGATGAAACAGAACCAATCGCGGATTAAATGTGTCAGAAAGTGGGCGTGTCTCTGCTCTCTGATTGGACCTCCCACAGATAAAGACAGAAATAACTGGATGGAGAAGGCGGCCATTAAAGGAAGTTCTGGATAACAGAGCGGGTCAGAACCATCGTCACACCCGGGGTTCAACATCCTGGGGACTTCCTTTCTGCAGAGTCCCTCCTCCTCCTCCTCCTGCTCCTCCTCCTGCTCCTCCTCCCCAGCAGACATGGGACCAAATGGACTATCAGACCCTCCAGAACCCTTTAGCCTCACATGCACATAAATCCAGAGAATGATGAACACTTCTTCCAGCAAGACGCGTTCCCCGGTTGTACCCCTGCTGTATTTACCTGCAGGCTGTCCCCCCGTTGTCCCCCCAGCTGTCCCTCTGCTTTATTTACCTGCAGGCTGTCCCCCTGCTGTATTTCCCTGCAGGCTGTCCCCCCGTTGTCCCCCCAGCTGTCCCCTTGCTTTATTTACATGCAGGCTGTCCCCCTTTGTGCCCCCAGCTGTCCCCTTGCTTTATTTACATGCAGGCTGTCCCCCTTTGTCCCCCCAGCTGTCCCCCTGCTTTATTTACATGCAGGCTGTCCCCCTTTGTGCCCCCAGCTGTCCCCCTGCTTTATTTACATGCAGGCTGTCCCCCGTTGTGCCCCCAGCTGTATTTCCCTGCAGGCCGCCCCCCCGTTGTCCCCCCAGCTGTCCCTCTGCTTTATTTACCTGCAGGCTGTCCCCCTGCTGTCCCCCAGCTGTATTTCCCTGCAGGCTGTCCCCCGTTGTCCCCCCAGCTGTCCCCCTGCTTTATTTACATGCAGGCTGTCCCCCTGCTGTCCCCCAGCTGTATTTCCCTGCAGGCTGTCCCCCGTTGTCCCCCCAGCTGTCCCTCTGCTTTATTTACCTGCAGGCTGTCCCCCTTTGTGCCCCCAGCTGTCCCCTTGCTTTATTTACATGCAGGCTGTCCCCCTTTCTCCCCCCAGCTGTCCCCCTGCTTTATTTACATGCAGGCTGTCCCCCGTTGTGCCCCCAGCTGTATTTCCCTGCAGGCCGTCCCCCCGTTGTCCCCCCAGCTGTCCCTCTGGTTTATTTACCTGCAGGCTGTCCCCCTGCTGTCCCCCAGCTGTATTTCCCTGCAGGCTGTCCCCCGTTGTCCCCCCAGCTGTCCCCCTGCTTTATTTACATGCAGGCTGTCCCCCGTTGTGCCCCCAGCTGTCCCCCTGCTTTATTTACATGCAGGCTGTCCCCCTGCTGTCCCCCAGCTGTATTTCCCTGCAGGCTGTCCCCCGTTGTCCCCCCAGCTGTCCCCCTGCTTTATTTACATGCAGGCTGTCCCCCTGCTGTCCCCCTGCTTTATTTACATGCAGGCTGTCCCCCGTTGTGCCCCCAGCTGTCCCCCTGCTTTATTTACATGCAGGCTGTCCCCATGCTGTCCCCCTGCTTTATTTACATGCAGGCTGTCCCCCGTTGTCCCCCTGCTTTATTTACATGCAGGCTGTCCCCCTGCTGTCCCCCTGCTTTATTTACATGCAGGCTGTCCCCCTGCTGTCCCCCTGCTTTATTTACCTGCAGGCTGTCCCCCTGCTGTCCCCCAGCTGTATTTCCCTGCAGGCTGTCCCCCGTTGTGCCCCCAGCTGTCCCCCTGCTTTATTTACATGCAGGCTGTCCCCCTGCTGTCCCCCAGCTGTATTTCCCTGCAGGCTGTCCCCCGTTGTCCCCCCAGCTGTCCCCCTGCTTTATTTACATGCAGGCTGTCCCCCTGCTGTCCCCCTGCTTTATTTACATGCAGGCTGTCCCCCGTTGTGCCCCCAGCTGTCCCCCTGCTTTATTTACATGCAGGCTGTCCCCCTGCTGTCCCCCAGCTGTATTTCCCTGCAGGCTGTCCCCCCGTTGTCCCCCCAGCTGTCCCCCTGCTTTATTTACATGCAGGCTGTCCCCCTGCTGTCCCCCTGCTTTATTTACATGCAGGCTGTCCCCCGTTGTCCCCCCAGCTGTCCCCCTGCTTTATTTACATGCAGGCTGTCCCCCCAGCTGTCCCCCTGCTTTATTTATCTTGAGGCTGTCCCCCTGTTGCCCACCCCCCCCCCGTTGTCCCCCTGCTGTATTTCCCTGCAGGCTGTCCCCCAGCTGTCCCTCTGCTTTATTTACCTGCAGGCTGTCCCCCCAGCTGTCCCCCTGCTTTATTTATCTTGAGGCTGTCCCCCTGTTGCCCACCCCCCCCCACGTTGTCCCCCTGCTGTATTTACCAGCAGGCTGCCCCCCAGCTGTCCCCCCTGCTTTATATACCTGCAGGCTGTCCCCCAGTTGTCCCCCAGCTGTCCCCCTGCTGTATTTACCTGCAGGCTGTCTCCCAACTGTCCCCCAGCTTTCCACCTGCTGTATTTACCAGCAGGCTGTCCCCCTGCTGTCCCCCAGCTGTATTTCCCTGCAGGCTGTCCCCCAGCTGTCCCTCTGCTTTATTTACCTGCAGGCTGTCCCCCAGCTGTCCCTCTGCTTTATTTACCTGCAGGCTGTCCCCCTGCAGTCCCCCTGCTGTATTTACCTGCAGGCTGTCCCCCAGTTGCCCCACATCTGTATTTACCTGCAGGCTGTCCCCCTGCTGTATTTACCTGCAGGCTGTCCCCCTGCTGTCCCTCTGCTTTATTTACCTGCAGGCTGTCCCCCTGCAGTCCCCCTGCTGTATTTACCTGCAGGCTGTCCCCCAGTTGCCCCACATCTGTATTTACCTGCAGGCTGTCCCCCTGCTGTATTTACCTGCAGGCTGTCCCCCAGCTGTCCCTCTGCTTTATTTACCTGCAGGCTGTCCCCCTGCAGTCCCCCTGCTGTATTTACCTGCAGGCTGTCCCCCAGTTGCCCCACATCTGTATTTACCTGCAGGCTGTCCCCCTGCTGTATTTACCTGCAGGCTGTCCCCCAGTTGCCCCACATCTGTATTTACCTGCAGGCTGTCCCCCTGCTGTATTTACCTGCAGGCTGTCCCCCTGCTGTCCCCCTGCTGTATTTACCTGCAGGCTGTCCCATGTGATCCTGCAGGAGCGCACCTTGATTTTGCTGCATTGTCCTTCAACAGTGAACTCCTGGACCAGGTCCACCTCCTTCCACTCCATGCTCACCGCCTCACAGAAGCTCCTTCACAACTTTCCTCCCTGCTCCTCGCTCCTCGCTCCTCTGATGACTCATCAAACTCTCCCCAGAATGAGCTGCTTGTCCTCAGAATCCCCAGAATCAGAACCAGAATCAGAACCAGAACCGCTAACAGAACCGGAACATTCCAGCCCAGAAGCAGCATCAATCTGCAGCTCCTGCTTCTGAATCTTCATCCAGATCTCCTCCTCCTCCTCCTCCTCCTCCTCCTCCTCCTCCTCCTCCTCCTCCCCCTCCCCCTCCCTCTGCAGCTGCTGTCTGCTGCAGCGAAACCCCCCCCCCAACGCTGCATCAGCGCCTGGCGGGGCTCCAGCTGCCCTCCCCCCTCCTCCCCCTCCAGATGTGCGTGATGAGGAAGAGGATGCCGGCTGATGAAGGCTATGCTGAGTCACGTGTCCTGATGGACACCATGCGGGACATCCTGCAGCTCTGACAGATTCTGGGCGGTTCCGGTTTGGCGCTGCTTTGACAGAGTGATCCGGTTAACTACGGTCAGCAGGACAACTTAGAAATCAGTGAATAGATCTGCTGCTGCTTGTTTCACTGAGCCGTTCTATGTTCAGGTCTAGAGCCTTGATGTCCAACAGAGACCTGTCTGTCCCCTCATGTCCCTCTGACAATAGAATTATCAGTAACTAGTCATTCTAACTAGTATCTAGGGTGGTTACTGGTAACTAGTTAGCCTACCAGTAACCACCCTAGTAACTAGTGAACCGCCAAATATACATAAGACTTAAACATGTAACTAGTAACAATAAGTAGACTAGAACTAGTAACTAATCACTTAAACTAGTTGCTTTAACAGTTTATACTTCAGTACCTGAGTTAGTATTTTGGAGCAGTAACTTAAACTAGTCTTTATAACTAGTGGTGATCACTGATGCCCGGCACAATTAACCAATAGGAATGCAGATAGAGATGAAAGACGGCCTCCCACGCTGTCATCATCAGCCCCTCCCTCTCTTAAAGAGACAGAGCAGTGTGACGATGTCACTGAGCGAGCAGCTGGTCTCAGGACTTGGTGTTGCCATGGAGACCGATGCCTGTCCGATTGACCAGGTTTCAAGTCCCTTCTTTGACTGACAGGAAAAACAGCGACACGTCAGATGATGAAGGCTCAACATGAGGAAGAGGAGACTCACCAGGCTGCTGCCCCCCCCGCTGACCTCACTGCAGGGCAGGGGCAGAGGTGAAGACCGGGACCAGGACCAGGACAGAGACCCAGACCGAGAGTGGGACTGAGACTGACAGGAGCCTTAGAGACGAGTGCAGGAGAGTCTGAAGGTGGGAGGAGGAGGAGGAGGCCAATCCTCTTAGCCCGGTTATGTCATGGGAGCTAATCCTAGCTTCACTGGCCACCGCGGGGGGGGGGGGATTGGGTGAGAGTGACTCAGTGTGAGGTAGACAGTGGTGGGAGAGGATGAGTGGGCCTGACCCGACCCGGGGGCTGGTTCTGACACATTTAGGACCACACCCAGAGCCATCAGGGAGGTTATGTTCACGCCCTCATTGGTTCCTTGTTCTCAGGTACGGCTGGACTCAGACGGACATCAGATGGACATCAGATGGACATCAGATGGACATCAGATGGACATCAGATGGACATCAGATGGACATCAGATGGACGGACCATCAGATGTTCGCACTACGCTCCACCTACCTTCTCTGGTCCGCTCTCTGCTGCCTCCACCACCTGGTTCTGATCCAACTGCTGCTGACCGCCTGTAGATTACAGAACAAACTGATGACCAGGAGCTCTGGGAGACCAAACCGCATGAAACACCACACCACCAGGACCCCCCAGGACCAGACGCCCCAGTATCAGAACCCCCCAATCTAGCAGAATGTTTCCCTTATATCATTTTCTATAAACCACCCCCCCCCCCCCACCCCCCGCACACACACACACACACACCATCCCCCTTGTGTGTGTTTATCTTTGAATGCATTGTGGGGACCGGCTGTTCCTAGTGGCAAATCTACTGAGGTGTTGCAGTTTTACCTGGTGGCCACAGGGGGCAGTGTCTGAGGTAGAAGTGGACCTCCGGCCTCCTGCCCCCCCACTGCTGGAGAAGATCCAACAGCAGCAGCTGCTGAGGAAGAGCTCGCTCTGGGAAGAGATGAAGATGGCATCACATTACTGCTCTGAGGTTCCACCAAAGGTTCTCTAAAGGTTCTCCTGAAAGTTCTCCTGAAGGTTCCTCTAAAGGTTCTCCTGAAAGTTCTCCTGAAGGTTCCTCTAAAGGTTCTAATGAAAGTCTCCTGAAGGTTCCTCTAAAGGTTCCTCTAAAGGTTCTAATGAAAGTTATCCTGAAGGTTCCTCTAAAGCAGTGGTTCTCAAACCTTTTCTGTCATTCCCCACTTTGGACAAGGGGGAATTTTCAAGCCCCGCCTGTCCCCATCGCCCCAACACAATGCTAATGAAATATGAAACAATCTTAAAATGTTCCAATTTTATTGAAGTAACAAGTAGTATCTAAATACAAACTATCTACATCAAATAACAGCAAGCTCAAAAATAAAGAAAATAAAAATGCAGCTCAAAGATAGAAAAAATTAAAGTGCCACTCTGCAATCTGTTAATAAAAGAAAAGAAGTGAAATCCATCTGGCATGACAGGTCTATTTATCCCTGCATTAGTGGCTGCAATGAGCCTGTTTTGCATTGCACAGTTTCTCAAAACGGTGTTGCAGGCTTGATACTGCCACTCTCAAGTCATGCTTTGTTTTCAGTGAAGCAACAGCTGAAAAGCCCATCTCTATGGAAGTAAATATGTGCCATCAAAATTTAAATAAAAAATACCTCTGAAATTTGAATGTTGTATATTAGTGCTTACTTTTTCAGTATTAAAATAAATTCAGAATATATTTTTAACCTAAAAAAAATTCAATGTCATTATTTGTACATTAAAAAAAAAGTTCAGTGTATTTTTTTTTACACGGTTGCAATTTTCAGTTATTAAAAAAATTCACATTCCTATTTCAAAGTGATAAAATTTTCAATATACATATTTTTCACAGTTTAAATTTTCTGTGTTAAAAAATTCAGCATATAAAAAATTCAACTTTTCAAAATTCAAATGCAATATTTTCGTTGTCCTCCATTTCAACTTGCTCAAATTCACTGTCTCAAATTCAGCGTCTAAAAATTCGCTGTAAAAATGGCCAAGGTTACTTCAGGTCACAGACATTAGCAATGGATGTCCGATTCCAACATCCACCTAATCACGTGACACAACCGTCATATTGAAGAAGTACCAGTATCACCCAGGCTGGCGACCATGGAGGCGAACTCAAACCCAGCGGTGAGTTTACTGCTTTCATATTTCTGTAGTATATTTTATTTTGCGCATGAAGTTTGATACATTATCTTAAAGCCTGATTTAAAACACTGGTTTGGGCCGTTGTTAATCTTACACCGTGTAGTGCCGGCATATTACTTCTCGCTACCTCCGAGCATCACCTCCCCCCCACCCCCCCAATTTCCCCCGCTTTATTTCAAAAAGAAATACCACCTTTCCAGGCAGTCTTAGTAAAGTCATAATTTTTCAGGAGATGCTACCGCTAATGTAGTAAGCTAATATGGCTGCCTTGTGTGCTTCAAAGAGGGGCTGTGAACAGTTCCGACCCCACTCTGATCAGCTACTGTATTGTTAGGTGACTTCATTTATGAATTAATTAAGAAATTCTTTGTCATTACAACATCATTCAAAATACCAGTTACCTACCAAATTCTAGATTTATTTGTGCTTGATATAGTTTCTACAATTTTAATGGGAGAAGAGCACAGTAGGCATCGACTGCCTGTCTGTCTCACCTAAGACAACATACAAACAACCCAGAAAGTCACCACCCATCAGTTCTCTTTAAAGATTCTAGACTTGGCGCAAGTGGTATTTCTTTTTGAAATAAAACGGGGGAAATTGGGTGGGGGGGGGTCCTCGGAGGTAGCGAGAAGTAATATGCCGGCACTACACGGTGTAAGATTAACAACGGCCCAAACCAGTGTTTTAAATCAGGCTTTAAGATAATGTATCAAACTTCATGCGCAAAATAAAATATACTACAGAAATATGAAAGCATTAAACTCACCGCTGGGTTTGAGTTCGCCTCCATGGTCGCCAGCCTGGGTGATACTGGTACTTCTTCAATATGACGGTTGTGTCACGTGATTAGGTGGATGTTGGAATCGGACATCCATTGCTAATGTCTGTGACCTGAAGTAACCTTGGCCATTTTTACAGCGAATTTTTAGACGCTGAATTTGAGACAGTGAATTTGAGCAAGTTGAAATGGAGAACAACGAAAATATTGCATTTGAATTTTGAAAAGTTGAATTTTTTATATGCTGAATTTTTTAACACTGAAAATTTAAACTGTGAAAAATATGTATATTGAAAATTTTATCACTTTGAAATAGGAATGTGAATTTTTTTAATAACTGAAAATTGCAACCGTGTAAAAAAAAATACACTGAATTTTTTTTTTAATGTACAAATAATGACATTGAATTTTTTTTAGGTTAAAAATATATTCCAAATTTATTTTAATACTGAAAAAGTAAGCACTAATATACAACATTCAAATTTCAGAGGTATTTTTTATTCAAATTCTGATGGCACATATTTACTTCCATACATCTCACAGAGATATGATGTGGCAAAGGGAAGAAGAATGCACACAGCTCTCTGCCCGATGAGTGGATACTCCCTCTCCACTCCAAACCAGAAACATGAACATGTGGCTGTGTGAATCAAACGCCGTTATTCATTTAAGATAAAATATTTCAAATTCAGTTATTTATGATCAACCTGCGCCGTCAATCCCGGCGCATGTGCGCTTCATTTGCAGTCTGGACGCTGAGGGTAAACATGCTGTGTCTCTGACTGCAGCGCTGAGAGGGACTCCTGCGATAGCGGGGGAGAACGGGGTTGGGAGGGAGGAGGCGCCCCACGGCAGCACCTGCCGCTGGAGGACAAGAAAAGGAACGATACGTGCTTTCACGTAAGAGTCTCCAAAAGTCGCTAGATTTGTCGCTAGTCGCTTTTTTGAAAAAGAGTCCCTGGAGGGGTCTGAAATATAGCGACAAAGTCGCTGAGTTGGCAACACTGGGGCGCGAAAGTTTATTCCGTTACAAATAATATGCCGACGAATCGTCAATCATTGGCGCGCCCCACCTGTCACGTCTCAATTCCCCACCAGTGGGTCGCGCCACACACTTTGAGAACCGCGGCTCTAAAGGTTCTAATGAAAGTTATCCTGAAGGTTCCTCTAAAGGTTCCTCTAAAGGTTCTAATGAAAGTTCTCCTGAAGGATCCTCTAAAGGTTCTAATGAAAGTTCTTCTGAAGGATCCTCTAAAGGTTCCTCTACAGGTTCTAATGAAAGTTCTCCTGAAGGTTCCTCTAAAGGTTCTAATGAAAGTTCTCCTGAAGGTTCCTCTAAAGGTTCTAATGAAAGTTCTTCTGAAGGATCCTCTAAAGGTTCCTCTACAGGTTCTAATGAAAGTTCTCCTGAAGGTTCCTCTAAAAGTTCTAATGAAAGTTCTCCTGAAGGTTCCTCTAAAGGTTCTAATGAAAGTTCTCCTGAAGGTTCCTCTAAATGTTCTCCTGAAAGTTCTCCTGAAAGTTCTCCTGAAGGTTCCTCTAAAGGTTCTAATGAAAGTTCTCCTGAAGGTTCCTCTAAAGGTTCTAATGAAAGTTCTCCTGAAGGATCCTCTAAAGGTTCTAATGAAAGTTCTTCTGAAGGATCCTCTAAAGGTTCCTCTACAGGTTCTAATGAAAGTTCTCCTGAAGGTTCCTCTAAAGGTTCTAATGTAAGTTCTCCTGAAGGTTCTTCTAAATGTTCTAATGAAAGTTCTCCTGAAGGTTCCTCTAAAGGTTCTAATGAAAGTTATCCTGAAGGTTCATCAAAAGGTTCTAATGTAAGTTCTCCTGAAGGTTCCTCTAAATGTTCTAATGAAAGTTCTCCTGAAGGTTCCTCTAAAGGTTCTAATGAAAGTTATCCTGAAGGTTCATCAAAAGGTTCTAATGAAAGTTCTCCTGAAGGTTCCTCTAAAGGTTCTAATGAAAGTTCTCCTGAATGTTCCTCTAAATGTTCTAATGAAAGTTCTTCTGAAGGATCCTCTAAAGGTTCCTCTAAAGGTTCTAATGAAAGTTCTCCTGAAGGTTCCTCTAAAGGTTCTCCTGAAAGTTCTCCTGAAGGTTCCTCTAAAGGTTCTAATGAAAGTCTCCTGAAGGTTCCTCTAAAGGTTCCTCTAAAGGTTCTAATGAAAGTTATCCTGAAGGTTCCTCTAAAGGTTCTAATGAAAGTTATCCTGAAGGTTCCTCTAAAGGTTCTAATGAAAGTCTTCTGAAGGATCCTCTAAAGGTTCCTCTACAGGTTCTAATGAAAGTTCTCCTGAAGGTTCCTCTAAAGGTTCTAATGAAAGTTCTCCTGAAGGTTCCTCTAAAGGTTCTAATGAAAGTTCTCCTGAAGGTTCCTCTAAATGTTCTCCTGAAAGTTCTCCTGAAAGTTCTCCTGAAGGTTCCTCTAAAGGATCCTCTAAAGGTTCTAATGAAAGTTCTCCTGAAGGATCCTCTAAAGGTTCCTCTAAAGGTTCTAATGAAAGTTCTCCTGAAGGTTCCTCTAAAGGTTCTAATGAAAGTTCTCCTGAAGGATCCTCTAAAGGTTCCTCTACAGGTTCTAATGAAAGTTCTCCTGAAGGTTCCTCTAAAGGTTCTAATGTAAGTTCTCCTGAAGGTTCTTCTAAATGTTCTAATGAAAGTTCTCCTGAAGGTTCCTCTAAAGGTTCTAATGAAAGTTATCCTGAAGGTTCATCAAAAGGTTCTAATGTAAGTTCTCCTGAAGGTTCCTCTAAATGTTCTAATGAAAGTTCTCCTGAAGGTTCCTCTAAAGGTTCTAATGAAAGTTATCCTGAAGGTTCATCAAAAGGTTCTAATGAAAGTTCTCCTGAAGGTTCCTCTAAAGGTTCTAATGAAAGTTCTCCTGAAGGTTCCTCTAAATGTTCTAATGAAAGTTCTTCTGAAGGATCCTCTAAAGGTTCCTCTAAAGGTTCTAATGAAAGTTCTCCTGAAGGTTCCTCTAAAGGTTCTAATGTAAGTTCTCCTGAAG